CAACAAGGAGGATGCATCCAGAAATGAGCCAAAACGACCCGTGTTTGAACTGAAAAGAGCCCAAAAAAGGTTGTTGGAGTGATTCTTGACCATAGAACTACTCAAACTTCTAGGAAATATCATAAAAAATACTTGTTCAAATGCAGCAGCGAGGAGAATACTTGGGAAAGAGAAAAAGACATTGGAGCCTTCAAACCATTAATTGAAGCATATCATTCATCGATGACTCCGAGGACGTCGCCAAAACAATAGAGGAGAATGTCAAGGACAACTTTATTTAAGTCTCTTGACTCAATCGCAGCCACAGTTTGCCCAACTTCGATCGCACATCGTAAATATTAGTTCAAGTTTGAGTTGTAATCTTCTTTCTATTGTAATAGTTTATTTCAATTGTAAAATAGCTCTGATATTGGTAAACGTTTAGTATGATTCATCGTCATTTAAACATCTACTCATATCACTTAGATTTTTGTTTCGTAAGCTATTATTGGGGGTATTAGTCTTTCAACAACCTTTCATGCTTTTTGGTGTTCATCCCCTGCACTAGCCATTGTAATTTCCTGCTTTCATCAATTGTAATTTCTAGCTTCAAGCAATCAATGATCAATTTACTTTCAATGTATCTCAATTTTATGTTGCAAGCTTTCTATAAATTGTAATCAAATTTTTTTCGTCCTGAAACGACCGAGAGAAGGCGGAAGGTAATCCAGCGGAGCTGACTATTACTGCACGGTATCCCTTTCAGTGCTAAGAAGAAAAGCACCCCGTGAAACTTGGTCAAGTTCTTCTGGTAACTTCAACAACTTCCATGATGGGTTTTTTGTCGAATCCTAGAAAGCATCGAACTTTTTTTGTTTATGAGCTCTTGGAAAATGGCAGTTTGCAAGATTGTCTTTTTCAACGAAGAAATTGAGAGTTAAAAAATCGGGACAAAGTTTTTAATTGCTTTACATATAGCTAATGGGCATGAGTATTTACATCACTATTGTGATCTTCCAATTATTCATGGTGATGTTAAGCCGAGTAATACTTCGTTAGATGAGACTCTCAATGCGAAAATTGTTGATTTTGGGTTGGTTAGGTTGAAGTTGGAAAAGAATGTTGAAGTTGAGATTATGGAGGGTAATTTAGGTAATAGGGTGGAGGATAATGGATCTATACTGGAGGAGACGAGAGTGTGATCACAACAAGTGGATTTGAGGAGTTCAATAATGTTCATCATCGAGTTGGCGTGGAAACGTCATTGAAGGGTGCTTTTATGCCAGTTGAGGCCTTACCAAAGGTAATAATTAGAGGGGAATCGTCACCTGAGGCAGAGACAACTACTGTGGTGTCGCCAATGACAGTGGCTACAATGGCATAACCATCTAAGGCTTTGGAGAAGACGAGCATATCGGAAGAAAAATTTGATAGGGTTAGCGTTGAGAGTATAGGATAAAGGAACGTGTGGAATTTGATTGGGTTATTTAATTAAGCTTATGTTTTGGTGGGAATTAAAATTAAATTTTTAGTAGTTTTTGATAAAAGTTGATGAAATGTGTGGTTAAAAATTGTGAGTCCCATAAATATGTGGTAAAAATTAATTGTTGGCTTTAATTTAGATTAAAATCTGAATTTTAATTTCTACCAAACATGGGCTAAAAATTGGTATTTTTGAGCCACATTATTTTGGAAGAATATATTTTGAAATAATAGATTGATGGAGAATGTGTGGTTGAAAAAGAAAGAAAAGTTATTAATATGATGAAAAATATTATTTTATTGAAAAATGTGTGTTTGAAAATGAGTAGAAGAATGAGAATGAAAATTTTAATGTGTATCAAACAAGGGCTAATAAACAATTTCGCTATTAAGGTCATTAAGAGTTGACGGTCAACAGCTGTCCTAGCTCACCAACATTATTGGATCCGCCACTAATTATAAATGTATGCATGTTCGTTATTTAGCCCCTATTTGTCTACCATTTTTCAAAAAATTGTTTTCTATAGTAATCAATATCTACCACATATTCAAATAATAAAATATTCTACTCATAAACCGGTAAAGTTTCTTTCAATTTCAACCACACATTTTTCAAAAAATACTATTCATTACACCATTTTCTTCTCAATAATGATTGACAAACAGGCACTTAATATGCCAACAAGTATCCTGCATGAAATTTCCTTAAAACCTAGCACCTAATATATTTTATAAACATGTTTTCATGAATGAAGGAGAAAGAACATGTATTGAGAATAGGTAGGACGCATGGGACGGGACGTGCTTGGCTACAACATTTTTTCATTGA